AATTTTAATTTATATCAAGCTGTTAAATTTAAAAAGCTTCTCTTTCATTACTTGTAAACTTTTAATTCGAAAAAAGCTTGTAAACAATCAAAACTTAAATCGAAAATTCGTCTTCATTGTATTGGTAAATCGCCTACCAATGTGAAAAAGTAAGAAAGAAGTGCGAATAATTTGACAAATAAAGGAAAAATGTAGAACAAGTTATTTTAGTTTATGAAAAATCCAAAAATTAGAAAGTATTACAGAATTGAAGGAAAAAGTCCTAAAATTCCGGAATAGGAGCAAAATTAGAAGGATTCGGATCAACTTAAGAAAAATCCAAAACCAGCGAAAATATCAAGATTAAAAAATTGTATTAATCAATATTTTTCTAAAGTTTGATTCTGCTTTGATGAAGCTAGGGAGAGCTGAGCTAAGAAATAGAACAATAGAATTCTATTCTAGAACTTCACTAAAATAACAACATTTACAAAACATAAAGGGAGAGAGATCAATCTAATCAAGGGGAACCAGGAGAACTTGGAATTAGCCAGAGGGATTAAAACTCAATATGTAGATAGATAGATAGATAGATAGATATACAGATAGATAGATAGATAGATAGATAGATGGATAGAAGGATAGATAGATAGATAGATAGATAGATAGATAGATAGATAGATAGATAGATAGATAGATAGATAGATAGATAGATAGATAGATAGATAGATAGATAGGTAGATAGATAGAAAGATATAAAGATATATAGATTTATAGATAGATAGATAGATAGATAGATAGATAGATAGATAGATAGATAGATAGATAGATAGATAGATAGATAGATAGATAGATAGATAGATAGATAGAGAGATAGATAGATAGATAGATAGATAGATAGATAGATAGATAGATAGATAGATAGATATATAGATAGATAGATAGAAGGATAGATAGATAGATAGATAGATAGATAGATAGATAGATCTTTGAAAAAATGGGACAATTTTATAGATGAAGAACCCAGGGTTTTTTAAGAACTTAAAGTGTTTTAATAAAGGAATTGAGTTTTTGTCACGAATTCCAATTTTATAATACCAAAATCTCAACAACCAAATGATGCATACCTTTCATTTTTCAAACTTACATTGTTTAATCCACCAGAATTCATAGTTTGAAATATCTACGGTCTACGATATTTGGTTTTAAAGAAGTTGGGATTTAAAAATCCGAGTTTGTGGCAAAGACTCAATTCCTTTGTAGTAATTCTGGGTATTATTATGATTTATAAAGGTTTTGGAGAATTTTTACACATAAGATTGAACTTCCTTGATTCAGATGTTTGTGATGTCTCTCCTGCAGAATATAGAGCGGATCTATTAAAGTTTGTTTATTGAAATACCCTGTATAGTATAGCATGGACTAATAATATTTAGGACACCCTGTTTATGTTTTCTCCTCGGAACTTAATATATCATTGGTTAGCTCCGTATCCGTGAACCTGGCACAGACAAGCCTAGACCCAACAATTTTCAATTCTTCATGGAACATAATTCCTACAGATCTAGACCCCCAACCCAACCCAACCAAACCCAAACCCACACACAAATATGATCCTATCAAATACCAAGCCTTACACGTACAAACAAAACCCAATCCAAATCCTAACAATATACACTCTAAACCGAACCAAATCATTCACACTCTAAAACAAACCCGAACCATACACACTTTAAATCGAACCCAAACTAAACACACTCTAAACCATACCTAAACCAAACCCAAACCATGCACACTCTAAACCAACCCCAAACCACACTCACTCTAAACATAACCAAACCCATAAACACTCTTAAACCAAACCCAACCTATAAACTCTCTAAACCAAACCCAAACCATACATACTCTAAACCAAACCCAAATCATATACACTCTGAACCAAACCCACACCATACACACTTTAAACCAAACCAAATCATACTCTAAACCAAACAGTAAACACTCTAAACCAAATCTAAACTATACACACTCTAAAGCAAACCCGAACCATAAACACTCTAAAACCAAAACCAAATCATACACACTTTAAAATCAAACCCAAACATTACACACTCTAAACCAAACCCAAACTATACTCACTCTAAATATAGCCGAACCCATACACACTCTTAAACCAAACCCAACCTATAAACTATCTAAACCAAACCCAAACCATACATACTCTAAACCAAACCCAAATCATATACACTCGAAACCAAACCAAAACCATACACACTCTAAACAAAACTCAAATCATTCACACTCGAAACCAAGCCCAAACTATACACACTTGAAACCAACCCTAAACTATAAAACAAACCCAACCATAAACACTGTAAACCAAACCCAACCATAAACACTCTAAACCAAACTAAACGTAACAAAAAAATTCCAAACCAAACTCACATTTAACACACAAACGTTACAATTACAAACAGATCCACTCACCAAAAACAAAGTCACAAATAAAGTAAACTTCAACTGTCTCAAACCCAAAAAGAACCCTGTTTATACACTCGTAAAATCACAGATCTTTTGCCGATTTCAACGTATTTTTTCAGGTTTAAGGGGGGTCATACTAAATTGTTTAGTCTTTGCTCCGGGTTGGACGTTTTAATGTTCTCCACTATTGGGTTGTAGCTGGGAGAAGATGACAGGTTTATGAGTTCTAACTCCGACATATCTAAATATTCTTCAAATAAAATAATCTATGGGGTCTGGATAGTTCTCACATTTGTACTGTTTATTTTTCGGAAAACTTATTTCAATATTTGTCCATATATTCCGGGGGGGGGGGGGCATCAGTTGATTAATGTTAAACGAATTCCTTCCACTGTCAATCACACGTCGCTGATTATCGTATACTTCACGCAATTATAAAAAAAACGTATGTTTTTGAACTGACATTTATCTGGAAAACTAAATTTTCTTGATAAAATTGTGATTTTTTTACGCATCAATGTCAGACCTAATAGATAGATAGATAGATTGATAAATAGATAGATAAGTAGATAGATAGATAAATAGATGGATAGATAGGTAGATAGATAGAAAGATATAAAGATATATAGATTTATAGATAGATAGATAGATATATATATAGATAGATAGATAGATTGAAAGATAGATAGATATATAAATAGATAAATAGATAGATAGATAGATAGATAGATATTTAGATAGATAGATAGATAGATAGATAGATAGATAGATAGATAGATAGATAGATAGATAGATAGATAGATAGATAGATAGATAGATAGATAGATAGATATAGATAGATAGATAGGAGAGATAGATAGATAGATAGATTGATAAATAGATAGATAAGTAGATAGATAGATAAATAGATGGATAGATAGGTAGATAGATAGAAAGATATAAAGATATATAGATTTATAGATAGATAGATAGATAGGATTGGTGTATGGTATATTGGTGATCAATGAATTAATGAAAGGTTGGAAAATATTTGATGAATTAGTGACATCACTCAGGCTGCCAGGATGGACACCGAGAAAAATTTGAAAATAAAGAAATAAAATGAAAAAATAATAAGTTAGAAAGTTAGGGTCAACAAATTTATTCCGATTTCTCAAAGCTGTTTTTAATTATTGATTATGAATTAGAAAATCGTAGAAATTAAACCACGAAAGATTTGTAAAGATTAACTAAACAAGGGGGAAAAATGAAATAAAACACAACTAGGAGAGGTTGCGTGAATCATATAATTCTATAGAAAATCACGAAACCTCGGTAAATATTTACTTTCATTAAACCATGCGTTTTAATCTTTCTTAAATAAGTAATCCATTTTCTTAATTAATGATACCCAAGAATATCTTAATGAATGATACCCAAGAATATCTTAATTAAGGATACTAACGAATATCCTAATTAAGGATACTAACGAATATCCTAATTAATGATACCCAAGAATATCTAATGATACCCAAGAATATCTTAATTAAGGATACTAACGAATATCCTAATAAAGGATACTAACGAATATCCTAATTAATGATACCCAAGAATATCCTAATTAAGGATACTAACGAATATCCTAATTGTTCTGAAAAATAAAACTTTACATATTTTAAGAAAAATCTTTGCATAAAACTTTATTTAGTTGGTTTCTTACTTGATTAAATCATTTTTATTTCAAGAAATCTATATTTTGCATTAATTCACAGAAACTGGAAGTTTTCCAGGTTCCACTCTAGGTTGGGTTTTGGTCAGAACGGATATAGACTCCGCAGACCAACCACAAACTATGTTTATTTTCCGCTAAAAACCCTCCTGATTACTTCCTTTCATCCCACCTTCTAATTTTAACCCACTTCCCCCCTTTTTTACCCAAATTACATCCTTAATTACTTCAATCAGCAAAGTTTTTTCCTAATTTATAAACAGATGCTATGTTGACCAATCCCCTTCTCTGAAAACGAAAGCAATGAAATTTCGAATATATCATTTTAAAAATCCAAATTTTTAAGTTTTATTGTTGTAACATTAACATTTTTAAATCTTGAAGATCCTATAAAATTTAAAATTAATTAATTTGTCTCACCTTGTTCTCACATTTAAATTGTAAAGCAAAGGTTAATTAAATATTGTTCAGTATTTTAGAAAAGAATATTTAAACATCGAAATATTCTTTTACGTCAATTAATTTAAATTCGATCTTTTTTCTAAGAATAGGATAAATTATATTTGCAAAGACCACGCAGTAATTTTGCATGGAAAGGGTTTAATTTTGCACGGACAAGGTTTAATTTGAGAGAAGACTAGTAGCCGTTGCACGTTTAGAGTTTGGGTGGATTTTCTGGCAAAAAAGTTGCGAAGTTTGCTAAAAAATACTCGTACCGCGCCGAGCGGACAGTTTTCCTATTGGTCGAGATACAGAACCACGAGTATTTTCGCCCAACCAGGGCCGAGACCGGTTGGACCGGCCGGGGTTGTGTCCGTTCCGGACTCGTCTTTCTCCGGGTCCCGGGGATTACTGAGAAACTCGCGGTACTTACTACTTAGTCAGTTTCTCTACGTCCAAAGAGAAGAAAGGGTGTGTTGATATTTTCTCTGGAAATGTGCGTTTAAGAACTTTCATCAGAAATCATAGAAACTATGGCGAAACTACTTGTTGTATCTATGTTAGCTATGGCGGAAGGAATTCAAAGATTTATCGAACCTCCGACATATCGTGAAGTTAACCCCGGAGGAACAGTCCTCATGAACTGCGTTGTTGAGTCCATGAAGGGTGAGTGTAGGTGGGAGAAGGACGGAGTACCAATTGGATTATATCCTGGTAAATATGAGATGGTTGGAGAGAAGGATGGAGATTGTACACTCCGTATCCTGGCAGCCTCCATGGAGTTCGACAACGGGGTCTGGCAGTGTCAGGTCACTGCATCAGACTTTAAACAGAAGGATACTCTTATATCAGACGGAGCTCAACTTGTTGTCCGAGGTAAAAATACGGAAAATTTTTTTCTATTGAATATTGAACGTGTCAAATTACATAGCTGTTGATATTTTTAAAGCAAACCCTTTGCAAACCCTGAAATACTCTATTGTTTTAAATATTCTAAATCTTGAGACATATTTTCCATTTTTAATTATTTGTAGCCTTAGATTCCTGGTTTATAGTTTCTCCGATATATCTCCCAGTGTCTCCAATGCATGCATTCCAATTTATGCTTCCTTTGCTAATTCTATCCTAGATATATCGGTAATTTTACGGATAATGATTCCCTAAGGGTTTAGTTTGTTCGGAAACATGACCCCTACCCCCCCCCCCTCTCCTTTATCATCTTAATATTGCCCTCATATGCTGTGCAATGCAATTTAGGAAAGATCGGGTTTCTTAAGCGAACCGTTAATTTACCGGTAGATTGCTCCCATTGCTCCTAGAGTCGGATAGAATCAACACCTTTCAGGTGTGTTTAAACCAAACACCTGGAGTAACCTGAACCTACAGCAAAGATTGGTGTATGGTATATTGGTGATCAATGAATTATCCCTCTTCACATCACCAAATATCCCCTTTCATTCCTCTCATTTTTCATCCCTCCCCCTTCTTTTCAACCTCATCCATTCCTCTTTTAAGCATCCCCCCTTTCTACATCTCAGCTGTCTCTTTAATTATTTATGAAAAATAATTCTCGAAGGAGTTGGGAAACTTATCTAAACTTTCCATTTCAGTTGCTCCGGAGTCAGTCGAGATCAGAACCAGAGAACCAGGATACTCCTCCCTCCACCAGGACGCAGAGCAAGATGAGAAGGAGTCACCAGAAACCATCTCAGGACGTGCCGGAGACGAATTGAACCTTGAATGCATATCAGTTGGAGGAAACCCTGCTCCCACCTTGTACTGGTATATTGGAGACAAGATTATGCCAAGTAAACAAACTCAAGAAAATTTGAAATCTGACTCAGGATCCTGGAAATCTGTCTCTAGGCTCAACCTTCCAGTGTCAAGAGAGGATAACCTGGCTAAGGTTCGATGTGAAGCATCTCATGATGCTCTGGAGGCAAACCTAGTGACTAATCGAACCCTGGATATTATGTATCCGCCCCGAGCTACAGCATCAACAACAGCTACTGGAGTTCTAGCAGAAGGATCAACGGTTGTGTTCTCCTGCTCTGCTGAGAGTAACCCTGCAGCTTCTATATCCTGGAGGAGAGCTGGCGGACCCGTCCTGACAACTGAATCTAGTTTCACAATACAATCTGTAAGTCGGGATTCCGCTGGAAGATATGAATGCATTGCAGAAAATATCCTGGGTTTATCCAAACCCTCATCAGTGGATATCCAGGTTCAATGTAAGTATATTTTCTTCCTTTCATCAATCAGAATTCTCTGTGAGTTCTCTGTAGTTTGCAAATTCATATCCCTCCACACATCCTTAGAATGTTTTCTCTCTAAATAAAGTGGAAAAACTGAAGCACAATTTATATTCCTTCTTTTTCACAATTCTATATCATTCATTCATTCTATGTAAACTTCGACACCCTAAGCTTACTTCGATCGTTTTCTCTGTTAAGTTTGCTACCCTGAGCTAAAGATACTTTTTCTTTCGTCCATCCTTCTCTGTTAAGTTTGCTACCCTGAGCCAAAGATACTTTTTCTTTCGTCCATCCTTCTCTGTTAAGTTTGCTACCCTGAGCTAAAGATACTTTTTCTTTCGTTCATCCTTCTCTGGTAAGTTTGCTTCCCAAGGGACAGTTTTACTTCCGTCCTTTCTTCACTGTTAAGTTTACTACCCTGAGCTTAAGATACTTTTACTGTTGTCCTCCCTTCTCTGTTAAGTTTGCTACCCTGAGCTAAAGATACTTTTACTGTTGTCCTCCCTTCTCCGTTAAGTTTACTACCCTGAGCTTAAGATACTTTTACTGTTGTCCTCCCTTCTCTGTTAAGTTTACTACCCTGAGCTTAAGATACTTTTACTGTTGTCCTCCCTTCTCTGTTAGGTTTACTACCCTGAGCTAAAGATACTTTTACTGTTTTCCTCCCTTCTCTGTTAAGTTTACTACCCTGAGCTAAAGATACTTTTACTGTTGTCCTCCCTTCTCTGTTAAGTTTGCTACCCTGAGCTAAAGATACTTTTACTGTTTTCCTCCCTTCTCCGTTAAGTTTACTACCCTGATTTAAAGATACTTTTACTTTCATCCTTTAACCTCTGTTAAGTTTGCTACCCTAAATTAAAGATATTTTTACGTCCGTCCTACTCTTCTATTAAATTTTGTACCCTGAGCTAAGGATAACTATTCTCTCATCAGATGATGAATGACTGTTGTCCAGTCTCTGATTATGTTTCTGACAGCTTTGTATCATTCCTCACATGTTATTGGGAACCTTGCTCCCCCCTTCTCTTCCCTACACCCCCCCCCTCCGCCCCCTTTCATCACAGGGGGCCTATAGTCTATATCCAGAAAGCTTAGCATCTCTTTATCCCCGGCAAAGAAATGTAATTATCTCTAAATGACAAAGCTCATTTTCTTAATAATAATCCGCACTCTGATAATTCTAGTTGTACTAGTCATTCTGACTATACATTACCAAACATAGTTCTTGCGTAGATAACCGTTATTAGACATGTACTAAGATTAGATGTAATCTAACCCCCCCCCCCCTCTCATATATTTTACAGTTAGGATTTAGTTTCAGTTTTGTATTCCTTTGCTGGATTATATAATGCTCTCTAAACTTGGTTTATAAGTGTCTTTCTAGCTCAGTTTATTCGTTAGGTCGCACTACCTTCTCCCTTCTCCCTAGTGTCTCCCTCCCCTCTTCCTAAACCAGCAGAAAACTAATTTTATACTATTTCAGACGCTCCAGTTATAGTAAATGTTGGTCCCAAGACGACAGTAGAGTCCAGGACTGGTGAGAAGATAACTCTATCCTGCCGGGCTCAGGGTGCCCCTAAACCTAATTATCAGTGGTTGCAGCAACTACCCACCGGGGAGGTGCTAGTCCGGGGTTATGAGAGCGATCTTGTCATTCCTAATGTTAGTTACGACCACCAGGGAGAGTTTGTGTGTGGAGCTAAAAACTCGATAGGCGAGGTTCAATCAGATCCAATCAGGGTTGAGGTTCGAGGTGCTCCGACTGTATCTCGTCTGACCGTGGCTAGCGAGGTTGTAGTTAGGACTGGAGAAGATGCAAACCTTGAAGTGGCGTTCTGCAGTAACCCGGAGCCAACCCAAACCTGGAACCTAGGACCTGTGGGAGGACAAAATACTAACATTGTCCTCACCTCGAACCAACGACATGGACGGTTTGTTGTGGACAACCTTACTCCCGTCCTTGCAAAGGACTGTTACATTGCTGTTCTCCGTATTCTCGGAGCTCATCCGTCCGACTCCAGGGACTATGTTCTAGAACTAAAGAACGATCATGGAATCGATACTCACCCAGTTAAACTTGTCGTCATTGATACCCAGGTCAGTCAGGAGATATTTATCGCCATCGTTGTAGGAGGGATCCTGACAGTTCTCCTCCTCTCCTTGATCATCATCTACCTGGTCAAAGCGGACAAGTGCTGCAGAACGGAGAAGAACGAGAAGCAGGAAGCTGGTAGCGACAGAACAGATGTTGAGAGCTGTCACAGCTCTGTGAGTAATCACAGTCACAATACAGTTCTACCCCCGGATGCTCTCTACGGGATTGTGAATAAAAAGAGTAAAATAAATCCTGATCATATTTTTAATGATTCAAACGAGAAGCTTCGTCCTGATCTACTCCCCAGCCTGAGCAGATCTGGGAGTCCCAACCCGAACCTTGTTGAGAATAAGACAAACTACAATGATCTTTGCTTCCCTAAAACTTCCAACTGCGGGAGCATGAAGAGAAAGAAACAAAGGAACCAAGGAGTTGACTGTCAGCTGACCAACAATACCTACGGATACATCAATTATCTCAATTCAGAGAATGCCGCAAATAATTTTGTGAGCAACAAAATCTACGAATAATTGAACCAAATAACGCGCCAAAATTGTTTTAATTTGTTTGTTAGGCTGTGATTCTTGTAAATAATTGTTGTAAAACGCTGTTTAAATCCTCAGATTTTATAATATAATACTTCAAAAGAATTCTTATTGAACACGTGGACACTTTTAGAAAGATTGAAAAGGAGAAAGTACTGTAGGTAGATAGATAAATACAGGGTTGATAAAACTGTAAACACGAACTGAAACTCTTAAAATTAGAGGTTTCCAAGGTTGAATTAAGTCTTCTGCAAGTTTACCTGGTTACAGGGAATCCATGAACATGTGGAAAAATAAAAAATAAATTCCGTACAGTCGTCTTTGAAGTCTCTGTACATGAATATATTCTGTTAAAAAAGTTGAAAACATTAGTTTTGAACACATGAAAAGTTTGCAAGTCTGAATATTTGCAAAAAGTTTGAAAAAATTGATAATTCAATTACTGTTGGGAATAAGTTTGATCACGAAAGAAGCTTTGATGAAACCACTGTATATGGGGATTTGATCATTTTTCAAATTTTTCATTTAATTACATTTTTAAATAAAAATATTAAAAATCGTGAACTGTATGTTTTATAGGGTTAATTGAGAAATTTTTCTTTGATCAAACTTGTTTCCGATAATATTTTGTTCTTTGTTTTTAAACTTGCAAAATAAGGTTTTTGAGAGAAAATATTCCCAATTCACTTTAACTTTGTATTATTGAACTGGGAAACCTAAATATTGATAAGCTGGGAATATATTTCTACATCATTATTTACGAATTTTCAAAATTGATGTATTAGATTTTGAGATTTGAAAGGTATACAGTAAACCTCTTAAAGAGTAGGATTGGGTTGGGTGAATGAAGATGGATGATAAATATGTTCCTTCTTGAGGAGCGTATTCATTCTTACATTTTAGAAGAGGAAAAGAAGTGGTTTCCAGGGAAAAAGTTGAAGAGAGGTTTATGTATTTGACATTATTTCAAATTAACTCTTTTATTCTATATTTACTAGAAGTAGGAGTAGGAGTAGGAGTAGGAGTAGGAGTAGGAGTAGGAGTAGGAGTAGGAGTAGGAGTAGGAGTAGGAGTAGGAGTAGGAGAAGGAGTAGGAGTAAAAGTAGGAGAAGGAGAAGGAGTAGGAGTAGGAGGAGGAGTAGGAATAATATTCTAAGTATAATAGTATTCTTGTATACTAATCTAGTTAAGTATAGGGGAGCCGTACCAAGGGACACAAAGGGAATCAAGTATTCAGAAATTGACCAAACAAAACTTAGAAAATTGTAGATTGGTTCAAAATTTAATAAAACTTTTTCTAGAAACCCTCCTCTTTCTCCAGAGAAAGTTTGACATTAATTAAATTTGAAAATGCTCAAAGTTTTTGATAATATTCAAAGTTTGAAGGTTGACACTTTCTCAAGAGAAATATTTTCACGGATTTTAATCTTTCTGTCGTTCTGGATTTTAAATTTTTATTCAAATATATAAAGAACTATCAGCTGGTTCATTTATAGGACTTCATAATCGTCTTTAATAATAATCATATTAAGTTCTTATATATATATATTTGCAAACACTATTATTTACTCTGAATTATAAAGGTGGAGGCGAACATGAAATTAAGAATTACTAAATAGATTCTATTCTAGTTCAATAGATGGCAACGTAGAATTTGTACACTCTCAGTACAGCTGTATTCTTACGTCACAAGTGTCAACTCAGTTTTTGTGTCTGACAAATTATTAATAATAGTGATAATTTTAGAATAAAGTGCTTAAATCTTAAAGAAAAATAAGTGCAATTTTCGGTGTTCTTTATTGTCTGTGTTTACACTTTTTTATTTAATCTTGGAAAACATGTCAACTAATGTGAGCAAATTTTTCCTTGTTTTATTTGACACTTGTGACGTCGTGTATAATTGGTCCATTTCTCTGTTGCCACCTTTTGTACTTGATAATCTATTAGAGAAGAAACTGTTATCTTTTTATTACAATGGAAGATATTGCTGTTTTGATTTCTGATTTCTGATAGTCTCCTGCAGTGGAAATGCCCAAGTCACTTCTGTAGAAAAACAACAATTGAAAATAATTAACTTTCAAAATTATTAACATTGATATATAATGCATACTTGATCAGACAAAGCTTTTAAGGGTACCGTTGTGAATCTTTGCATGGAGGGTCGATTGATTTTACGCTTACTTTCCCAATAAAAAAATCTTTTTAAAATTTTTTTTTTAGATGAAGAAGGAAGATGGGGGGGTGTCTACGAATCACCCAATTTGAAATAATCTATTCAACTTAAAGTGAAGTACAAAAAGAGTTTGGCGCAATTTTCTAAACTCAGTCCCAATAAATCAGGATTAAAATACCAGATTCCGGTCGGAAATAGTTAAAGAAGTTTCGCCTAATTTGCTGCCTATCAGGTCCTTTTCACCCTACTCTCTCACTACTCTCCAGTCTCCAGGCCCTTCCCCCTTATTTTTGTCAGACTTTAACACTTGAACCTTTAGCTCTTAGATACTTTACACTTGAACCTTTCAATCTCAGATACTATACACCAAACCTTCCAATTTTGAATACTTTAACACTTGAACTTTTAACTCTTAGATACTTTACCCTCAACCTTTTAATCTCAGATACTTTACACCAAACCTTCCAATTTTGCATACTTTAACACTTGAACCTCTAGCTCTTAGATACTTTACCCTCAACCTTTTAATCTCAGATACTGTACACCAAACCTTCCAATTTTGCATTCTTTAACACTTGAACCTTTAGCTCTTAGATACTTTACACTTGAACCTTTCAATCTCAGATACTATACACCAAACCTTCCAATTTTGCATACTTTAACACTTGAACTTTTAACTCTTAGATACTTTACCCTCAACCTTTCAATCTCAGATACTTTACACCTGAACCTTTTAATCTCAGATACTTTAACACTTGAACCTTTAGCTCTTAGACACTTCACACTTGAACCTTTAACAATAAGATACTTTACACCTGAACCTTTTAATCTCAGATACTTTACACTTGAACTTTTTAATCTCAGATACTTTACATTTGAACCTTTTAATCTCAGATACTTCACACTTGAACCTTTAACTCTTAGATACTTCACACTTGAACCTTTAAATCTTAGATACTTCACACTTGAACCTTTAACTCTTAGATACTTCACACTTGAACCTTTAACTCTTAGATACTTTACACTTAAACCTTTCACAATAAGATAATTTACACTTGAACTTTTAACTTTTAGATACTTCACACTTGAACCTTAAACTTTCGATACTTTAAATCTGAGCCTTTAACTTTTAATAATTTACATATAAACCTTTTACACCAATACTAATGAACCCGGAGTTCAACTAAATATGACAATATTTTATGTTGAAGATATACTATATATATAATGCATAAAGTTAATATATATTTTTCCATGAAGAATTCTGTAATTACACAGTGTTGAAGTGTAAAAATATATAAACAATAATACTTGAAGTAAGTCTCTAGTGTCACAGCTAAACACTTGAAACATATTGCTTAAAAAAAAACATATTCTTAGTCCTCAGTTGTCATCTCCTCATTCTTTCTTCATCATGGGTATTCAGGGGAGGTTTGCTTCTTAAACTAAGGAAATAAACACTTGCTCAAATTCTAATTTACTAATCCCTATATTTTTGTAACCCGATGGTGTAAATCTTTAATATGTGGCACGTCACTAGATATCATAATTCAAAATATGAACGTTCTTCAAGATTTAGCTCCTTTAGAGATTCGGGAATTTAAACTTGCAAAGAATAAATTTCAGTAAAAAAAATAAAATGAAATTTTTAATTTGCACAAATGAAACAAAAATCAAATGCCATCCCGAAATGTTAAAGTTTAGAAAATAAGAAAAATTTTATTTTCTGATTTTTTAGTTTTCCTTTTAAAAACGTACCTGGTCGGTTTTATTTTTAAAGGGAGGGGGAGGGACATCCTGGTCGGTTTTATTTTTACAGGGAGGGGGAGGGACATCCTGGTCGGTTTTATTTTTACAGGGAGGGGGAGGGGCATCCTGGTCGGTTTTATTATTATCATTATATATTCCACTCTTTATGACTGTTTTACATATATTATACTGTTATTTATGTGTGGTAAAAATAATAGATTTAGAATAATATTTACATGAATAAAAACAGTTTTCATGGACTAGAGAATACATATCAAGTTATTGGGACCATTTCCTTGGTTGGGGGAAATACAGGGGGTCTCAATAAATGTGACAAAGAAGTCCACTTTCAAATAGATATTTTCAAATCATTGCTTTAGCATATTATGTATTTTTAAGGCTCAATTATTTAGTTTTTTTAATTCGGAATTCATTTTTATTCACCACCCTGTAATATCTGAACTGTAAAAACATGTTGGAGTAATAAATATTGCAAATAATAATATTTTCTTTTACAAAATTAAATTGCGAAAGTCATGATCTCATGATCTAGATTAGAGACACAAAATGTGAAAGCTTTTAAAATGAACTTTATCCTTTTATGTGACAATTGTTACTTTCTGAAATTATTCAAATGACATTTTCGAAGAAAAAACTTAAATAATGAAACCCTGAGTAATACAGTATTCTGGTCGTAAAATATTATATTACAATAATCTTTTTTATATTGTATATTTATGTTTTATTTTATATCTGGGACGGTTGGATGGAATAAATTCAACAGATTTATAAAATAAAAACAATCTACTCGAGAGTCAGTCCAAATTTCCCTCTATTAATTCCACAGTCTTATTTTTCTCAAGAATGTAATGCAAGGAAAGTTAATTGCAGTTGCGTATACTCTGCGTTCACATTGAAACCAGTTCTCTCTGAGCGGAATTTGTAAACAAGAATAGATGCATCAGTGTTCGTTTAGTATCCGAGGAGGTTAAAAGCATTTAATTTTGATAATTTTGATAATTCACACAATAGTTTCCTATGCCCAGAATATTTCATTGATTATTTATGTGAAAGATGAATCCCATGTCTTGTGTTTACATTACCGCCTAGTGACAGTACACTGCAGTACAAAAGATGCGTACACTTCTGAAATAACTTTCCTTGCATTAAATCCTTGATTATT